AATTCCCATGCTTCTGCCTTCCCGAGTCGTGGCAGATACGCAGGAATATAGCCCAACAGGACCCACGCCCATGCGCGAGCTACAGCCCAGCAGAGAAGAGGGGAAAGAAATCAGTCATTGAAATTATAAAGGAAAATAATAAACTTTACTTTTTAAAGAGATGTAACACACAATATTACATATAGAAAATGCTTATGAGCCCGAAAAAGAAAGTACTAGCTTAAGCTTATACTCTCAGACAAGTTGAAGGAAACAAGATGAACATATAAAAAAAAAAAAAAATCCTTGTTTCTATTTACTAGTAACAAACAGTCTTAAAAATCCAATTCCATTTACAAGACCATCAGAAAGTAAAATACTTAATAAATTAAGCTGAGAGAGCATAAGACTTTAACAAAGCAAGAAGGGAAGCGCGGGGGGGGGGGGGGGGCGGGGGGGGGGAAAGAAGGCTAAGACCGAAAGAAACAAAGGACAACCCTGTATTCACACACTGAGAGACCAGCCACTGTCACAGCAGAAACACCCCGAAGTTGGTCTTCAGCTCAAACCCCAGCTGCTTGAACAGGCTGATCCTCGGAATACTGAATGGAGAAACTGTGTGTGGAAGGCATCGAGTTGGCAGGCCCATGCTTCCCGATACCAACACTTTCGGCAGCTTGTCAATCACCATCAGCATAGATCGAAACTGAGAAAAACACAAGCAGAGTCTGGAAACACTCCATGCACAAGGGTTGACGGACATCACGCTACCTCATTCACCGGAGAAAGAACACTATTTTCAACAAATGTGCTTAACTAACAATCTCAGTGCAGAGGCGTGAAATTGGGTTTGAACCTCATACACTGGTCACAGAATGGTCAGTGACAGGAGTGGTGGCACAAACACCAGACTCTGAGAATAAACAGAAGCTGTAAGTCATCACTTAACAATGCATGCTGGGACAAAGAGTGGAAGGAAGGAAGCGTTGCCAAATCAGATCCTGAACATAGCGAGTAGCCCTTACAATGAAACAAAAGACAAACCAAATAAATGAGAGGCTAAATACAGTCCTAATATACAAATAAAAATGAGTCCTAAAGAGACACAAAGAAACAGATAGCCAAAGGTCTCATTAAAAGATCCCCACATTAGTACTCAGAAAAATGAAAACTAAATGCTCAATGGTCTTCTGTTTCCCATGCCGTACACTTCACATTCTATATCAAGAATAAATTAGAAAATAATGTGCGCCAAGAGGGGAGGAAACTGAAACCATTGCCCATTGGTGGTGAGTGGGGCAGGGCATATTGGAAAGCAGATCGTTGGGCTTACTTCTGGCAATGCTAAATGTCCAATGTCTATATGATCCTTCAGTTTCACTCCTAGAAAATATAACTATGTCCATATCCTGTCTCCCCTCCCCCCTTAAAAATGTATAGGGCCAGTGAGATGGCTTAGCAGGCAAGGATGCCTGCTGTCAAGGTTGGTGGGCTGAACTGGATCCCTGGAACCCACATGGTGGAAGGAGAGGACTGAGTCCCACATGCTGTCCTCTGACCTCCACATATGTGCACACACATTAAATAAACGTAAAATAAAACATGTAAAAAATGTTCACGGTGTCATCGTAACCCCAAAGTCCGTACAACTGATTAACAACTCCATATGATGAGGCAATTCCCCACCATGGAGTCTCATTTGCCCGTATAAGGAATGATATATGGTACCTGTTACAACAAGCAGGAACCTTGAAAGCAACATGCTAAGCCAAGCGTATATGATTCCATTCATATGAATTGTCCAGACTCCACTAATCCAGACACACTAAAGGAGCAGCAGTTGCCAGGGGCAGCGGGGAGTAGGCAGTGGAGAGCAACTGCTTAATAAGTGCAGGATTTATTTTAGGAGTGCTGAAATGTTCTGGAACTAGCAGAGACATTATGAGTGTGGTAAAGAACACTGAAAATATGGTTAAACTTATGTTGTGTGTTACTGTAATGTTTTAAACTCGTGAGATTATTAAAGAATTATTTCTCACTGTAGAGGAGACACAGAAGTCAAGTGACTTGCCTTAAGCTAATCTTGGATCCCAGAATTCTTCGTTCTAGCCCCTAAACTGTAAACATAGTCCAAATGGAGTCATGCTAGGTGGGGTGGTGCATGCTGTTAATCCCAGAACTATGGAGGACTGCCATGAATTTGACGACAGCTTGGGCTACATAATGAGTACAAGGTCGGCCAGGTCTTAAAAATAATAAAGGGGCGGGAGGGGAGGGAAGAGAAGGGGCCATAATTAAACTAGCCAAGCCAAGAGTCAGGAGGTTAACGGGGGTAAGGCAAACAAGCACCGACACGTGCCTATCATAAAACCCCCAAGAATGCCTACGGGCCCTTTTCCTCTGTTTGCTTTCTGTGGCAGTCTTGTGTTGTAGCCTTGTTTGCCCTCAAACATGCTGTAAATCCTGGCTCAGCCTCCAGAATGCGTGGGTTACTTACGCACATACGTTCCGCATACAGCCTCTTACTATGGGAGTCACCAGCACAGTCTCCTCTAGTGAACTGCAGTCAACCCCTGCAACAAATCCTTGTCAGCCCCAAGCTCTGTTTCAAAACCCAGGGCGGTGGACTTCTGCCCTTAGAAGTGTCCCGCCTCAATCTTCTTTGAGATTGATGTACCTGGTGTCCACAACAGGCACAGCCCAGACGCTAACTCTTTAGACTAGCAGTTCTCAATGACCCTTTCACGGGGGTCACCTAAGACCACTGAAAAACACATATGTTTACATTATGATTCATAACAGTAGCAAAGCTATAGTTGTGAAGTAGTAATAATTTTATGGTTAGGGTCATCACAACATGAGGGTCGCAGTTAGGAAGGTTGAGAACCACTGCTTTAGACAGTCAGTCCTCTCTTTTAGGCTGGCAACACATATACACAATGAAATTCGCTCCTAAGTTCCTGTGGGTGGGTGTGAAGGACCCACGTTGGACTCCTGGGGCGTCTAAGGGCAGCTGCAGAGCAGGTCCATCCCTGACACACACCTCTCAGACTACACAACAGCCACAGCCACCACCAAGGCCACGAGGGGGCGCGCGTCACCCGGACACCACTCCTCTTCTCAACGCTCTAGCCAACCGCCGGGCGGCGCAGATCCGATCCGGACTGGGGTGCGCGATGGGAACTGGGGCGCGCGCCGGAAGGAGCCGCCTGGGTGTTACCCTGTGCACTCTGGAGCCATTTCCACTCTACTGAGTTTGGCTCACGCACTGGCTCCTTTAGAACCAGAGCTTCGTAGTAAAGCCAAAAGACAGCTGAAGCGATAGCAGAACTCAGAGGTCCATATAAAAACTTCTGTACATTTCCAATCTTTTAAAAATAAATATTAAGAAGCTGTCTTAGAGTCATTGGCATTGTCTAAAGTCTGTTATTCTGACTTCTATTTAATTTTTTGATGATTCGTTCATTGTTATTCTCCCTTTTTAAAATTTTGCTGTTTTAATATTTCTCTTGACCATTGACTTATTTAATATGTGTGTCCAGTAAATCTTGCTAGTTAATATTGCTGCAGCCTAGGGACAGGACCAGAGTGCCCCGCTGTCATCTTCAGTGTGTTGGTATCAGTCTAGGGAGCAGCAAGCGACCCACCTCTTTCTAGATCTGTAGGGCTCAGCAGAAAATTTCCCCAGGCAGAGATACTGCTCCAGGGAAGGCAGGGGAGAGACACTGCAGCTTCTCCTACATTACTAGTGAGTCTATTAATAGTAGTCTTTCTCTTAAGTTATTACTACACTTAACAATAGTTGTATTGTTTCTATAATAATAAAAATTAAAGCTGGCTCTGGTGGTGTACACCTGCTGTCCTAGCATTTGGGAAGTCAAGGCTGTCCTTGACTACATAGGAATTTTAAAGCCTACATAGGAATTTCGAAGCCAGGGTAGCTTCAACAAAACAAAACAAAATGGGCAAGTGAGTTGACTCCACTGTTAGAACTCTTCCAGAGGACCCTAGTTCAGTTCATAGCATCCATGTATGGTGGCTTATGCCTGTAACCTCCAGTTCCAGGAGATCTGATGCCCTCTTCTGACTTCCTTAGAAATGTGCACACATCACACACACACATACACACACACACACACACACACACAAATGAAACCTAACTGCTGCTGACTTGCTGATTGACCTTGGACAAATCCCAGAGCCTTAAATAGTAAGGCTAACCATAGCATCTCCGTCCCTCAGTGGATGCTGACGTAGTCGAATGAGCTAGGCTGTTCCTGCTATTATTTACACCCCTAGTTTTCTTTGCTCCTTCCTGAAACTTTACCACACTGGGTCAGAATAGTCTCTTCTTTGAGTTCCCGGAAGCACTTTCTCCATCACTGGTCAAGGGTTAGGTGTCACTACTCCATCAGTGGTGGAAGGTTAGGCATCATTGCCTATTGCCTGCTCTTTAAAAACAATATGAATCCCTTGGGGGAAAACAAATAAACAAACTGCATTGTGGCTCCTTATATAACTGAGGTCATTATCCTTGAGACTTCAAAGTGAAGGTTGTTTTGTTCAACCCGGGTCAACTGTACACTTAACACAACAGCTAGGGACTAGGGGTGGTGTGGGAGGGAGATTGGGAATAGAAAAAACTCCAGAAATAGACGAAATTAAAGCTATAACAAAACCCTCCAAGCCCCATCTCACCAGAGCACTGAGAGTACGCATCATCTCATCTGCCTTTCTCACAATACTAGCCCCAGGGGATCTGGTGTGGAGGGTCAAGGTGGAACCAGAAAGTCTTCTCCACATACACGCAGCGTGCCCAGGAATGTGGAAACGACTAATTACAGGAATGGGAACAGCAGACTCAAGAATTATCACTCCCAGCCTGTCGCCTTGATTCCAATCTAGGGAGAAGTGCCCTGGAACTCAAGGAGTAGGGGTGGGCGGCAGGGGAGGGGCGGGCCCGAGGGGCGGGGCGACGATGCTCCGCCCCGGGAGGCCGGCCCAGCACTGCTACCCAGGCTGTGCGCTCTTTTAGGGCTCAGCTCCTGGAAGGTGGAGTGTGTACCGGCCCCGGGTTCGAAGGCAGGCGGCGAGATGAGGCGGGCGCCAGCGTTCTTGAGCGCAGACGAGGTGCAAGACCATCTCCGCAGCTCCAGCCTCCTCATCCCTCCCCTGGAGGCCGCACTGGCCAACTTCTCCAAAGGTCCGGACGGAGGGGTCATGCAGCCGGTGCGCACCGTAGTGCCTGTGGCCAAGCATCGAGGGTGAGTGTGAGAGAAAGAAGGGGATGGAGGAAAGGGGAAAGAAAGGCGCGAAGGAATGCAGAGGGAAGCGATAGGAGAAGGGAGGAGAAAACTTGTTTGATCTCTGCTAATGACAGCTGCTGCTTAAGGGGCACTAACCCAGCGGGCCTCTGCCAAAAAGGCACTTTCCAGGTACCACCTGCTGTAATTCAACTGTTGTCCTTGGCAAGGGAGGTACCAAGGCCAAGGCTGTCGCTCTGCTAGTTGAAAACTGAGAAGTAGAGCGATTTGCTGAAGCTTACAGAGCCAAGAAGTGGCAGGATTGTGATGGCTTTCTGGCCCAGCGCCAGGCCGTGAGTCCTGCCTCAGGAAAGGGCAGAAGGGCAGCGAATGAGCACAAATGGAGTGGCCGTGCCAGCGGAGCAGTAATAGAGGAGGGAAGGTGAATGGGACTTCATTGAACACAGCATTAACTGGAAGGAGTTGAAACTGCTCTCTCTCTCTCTCTCTCTCTCTCTCTCTCTCTCTCTCTCTCTCTCTCTCCCTCTCCCTCCCTCCCTCCCTCCCTCTCTCTCCTCTCCCTTCCCTTACTCCTTCCCTCCCTCCTTCCTCTCTTTCTCTCTCTCTCTCCCCTCCCTTCCCTCCCCTCCCCCCTCAGCTTCCTGGGAGTAATGCCAGCCTACAGTGCGGCTGAGGATGCACTCACCACCAAGTTAGTCACCTTCTACGAGGGCCACAGCAACACCGACGTCCCCTCCCATCAGGCATCAGTGCTTCTCTTTGATCCCAGCAATGGCTCCCTGCTGGCGGTGAGCAGTCTCTTCTCCCCTGGGGCAGAGAGGGTAGAGTAAGTTTCCCCTGGAATAGAGAGTGTCCCTTGGGCCCAGAATTAAGCCTAGAAGCTAGTGAGAAGTAATATGATCGCAAGCGACCAGACAGGAGACTGTGACAGCATCTGTTTCTAGGGCCGCTTGTGCCTACAGCAGCGGCAAGCATTGGCTGTAGAAATAATGATCCTGTTATTCATGCCTATGGTCTTGTCACACACTCAGATACACCAAGTGCACAGCTTGAGTTAAAGCAGTAGCTGAAGAAACATACATTCCCTGAAGCCCTCCCGATATGGAGCAGAAGACACAGTAACCTGTGGGTGTCTTCCTGACGTCTATCTTTATCATCTAGCAAGGCGTGAAGGAAGCAGTAGCTCACAGTTACTGAGAGATTGGGGAGAGGGGAGATGCAGAGTTCTAAGCACATTACCTGCGTAATTAAAACCACCCAGGAGGTACATGATATTGTTATCCCCACTTCAGGAATGAGGAGTGAGGCATACAACAGCCTTGCTCAACTGAACCCCCTAATAAGAAGCAAGGCTGGACCACAAACCTCTTCAATCTAAGCCAGTGATGTATCTAGTCCAAGACTAATTCTACTACCTTATCTGTTTGTTTGCTTGCTATGTGTCCCAGGACACACACACACACACACACACACACACACACACACACACGAGATCCTCCTCCCTCAGCCTGCCAGGTGCTGAATATGAACTGGACGATTTCCTGTTAAGTTTTGTTGAGATCCCTGAGGCTCAGGTGAGAACCTTGGTTTGGGGTCACACCACTGGTAAGTGCGATCTCCCCTAGATCCACTTGATTGACACTGGTGTTTTCACTCTTACCTCCTAGAGTCTTTCAAAGGCTCTCAGACTCCCACCCCCTTTCCTTCTCTGAATGTCTGACTCCCCTAAGAAATCCAGCTGTCCATTACCCCACTAGAGACGAGTGTCCGGCTCAGCCTGTGCTCATCCAGGGGCAGTGACATCTGTGCTGCACACAGCAGTGAGTCCCCACTTCTCGAGCATTGGATGTTCACACTAGATGGTGGCACTCTGGGCCTTTGCTGAGTGCTCTGTAGCTATAGGACTCAGCTTCTCTCCTGTAAAATGAGAATTATAATAACCCTTGCCTTTTGAGTCCCAGCCAAGACGAGTAACGGGGCTGACAAAACGCTCAGTCCTCCCTAGACATCAGAACCTCCTAGGAGCTGTGGAAGCCAAGGATAATTTGATTCCCACCTAGGGATTCCATTTTTTTTGTTTGTTTGTTTGGTTGGTTTGTTTGGTTTGGTTGGTTGGTTGGTTTTCTTTGTACCTATATAAGTTCAAAGACCACTGAACTACACATCCCAAGCCAGAGAGTCAGCCTGAGTCATTCTCAGTGTGGTGTCTGGGGATAGTGTCTTTCCAAAGCTCTTGAGATGGGAAGTGATATTCATATCCCTGAAGTTCACTTCAGCTTGGAGATCTGAGAGTCCCAGGGCATGAAAACAAAATAGGTGATGTTTATCGAGTGCTTACTGTATGCACCAGCTTTCCTTATGTAGCTGTATTTAATGCTCTCACTGCCCTCTGCACTGTTGGCATCATCTTCATTTTTACAGATTGAAGAATCCAGTGCATAGCTCTTAGTGCCCAAAGCCAAGTAGCTCATAAGTGAGGAATGAGATCTGAGTGTGACCCTAAGGCCAGCATTCCCTGTAGTTTCTATAGAGCTGCCTTTCTGAGTTTCAGTCCTAGGAAGGCACCTTCCTCACTGTCTCTCCTTCCTCCAAGGTCATGGATGGAAATGTCATAACCGCAAAGAGAACAGCAGCCGTGTCTGCCATCGCCACGAAGGTAAGGCCAGAGGAGAGGGGAGGAGGGCGGAACTTCTTGGTCTGCCTTTGCCCATAGCTGGAACCCCACATACCAAATATAAGTTACTAAGTGAGCACAGTAATTCACAAATTTACTGAATGTGTGCCACATAATTCCCAGTACCCCCATAGGCACAATTCCCAATCTTCCTATCTCAAAAAAAAAAAAAATAGAGTGAAAAGTGGTAGAGAGAGACACCAGATGTCAACATCTGGCCTGCATACATACACACATGTGTGCATGAACATCTACACAAATACACAACAATTAAACATAGAATGAGGTTTGACTTTTAAAAAGTATTAAGTAGCTCTTTTGTGTGTTATATACTAATTATTAATAAATCTTATTACACATTACACATTTAACTATTTTATAATTTTTTATTAATTAGTAAATAATTATTAGTCTGTTTACAGTTTGCTAAAAAAAAAAAAACACCCATCAAACTCCACATTGTATGTTAGAAAGATGAAATGAAGCAAAATGGAAAATATGGGAATGGAAGTGACTTTTTTTTAATGGGGTCTCACTATGTTGCCCAGTTTGGACTTAGATATTTGGTTTCAAATGGTTCACTTGCTTCAGCCCCACACATAGCAAAGTCTGCAGGCACATACCGGTATTTCTGACTAGAGAGATGACATTTCAGTTGATTCAGAAATGGTCTCCCTGACATTGGAGAGCATACTGAAGTCAGTGAGTAAACACTGGAGGACCATGCAGCAGAAAGTGAAGCAAGCAGCCTGGCCATGTGGTCAGCAGTGTGGAGGCACCCCATGAGAAAGATGGGGCAGTCGGTAGAGGGTATAGCCAAGGGAAGGAAATTTAGAGTGGGGTATTCAGCTGGGATGATGGTGCACACCTGTAATCCCAGTACTTGGGGCTGAGGCAGGAAGATTGCCACGAGTTATAGGTCACCCTGGACTTACATGATGAGACCATATATCAAAAGACAAAATAGAGGAATATGGGACTCTGTAGGAGTGATTGGAATTTTTTTCATTAATTGAAGACTGACAAGGGATTGGTATGCTGGCTTTCCTAGGCATAGCAGGAGTGTTGTGGTACCAAGGAGGGTTAGCATGGCAAGTCAAGTATTTTGATTGTTTGGTTGGTAGATAGCTCCTGAGGAACAACACCTAAGATTGACCACTGTCCTTCACAGGCACATACACACACACACACACACACACACATATGCACACGCACACACACACACGTACACACACACGTACAGGAATGCACACACTCAGGCACATACAGATAAGAGTGTCTATCACATAGGGAGGGTCCTTGTCCAGACCAAGTGATATCATAAGAGCACACAGTAGGTATTCAGTGAAGGCTCCTTCCTACCTGTCCCTCTCTACAGAGGGCAAACAGACACAAAGTAACATCTCCATGATGCCCACCAGCTCTAGAGGGTAGCTGAAGCCTCCTGGTTGCCTGAAAACACTGACCTTTGCCCTCCCCTGTTTCTCCCAGTTTTTGAAACCCCCAGGCAGTGAGGTGCTGTGCATCCTTGGGGCTGGAGTCCAGGCGTACAGTCACTATGAGATCTTCACAGAACAGTTCTCCTTCAAGGAGGTGAGTGACAGCGGGGCCTGGGGGACAGGGAGATGGGACACAGGCCTTTAAATATTGTCCATCAGAGGCTACACAGTGGGGCTGAGTCTGGCATGGGTCATCCTTATCCTTATGTCCTTATGACATCCCCAGAAGGACTGTGAGGCCTGGTCACCTGTTTTCAGACTCATGGCTCCCAGGACACACACCTGAGGAGTGTCACCAGCCACCCAAGTGATTCTGTGACACTCCTTGGGTATCAGCTGCATTTCCAGCTCCTCCCTATGCTTCTCTTAAAAGACTCTAGGAGACTACCTATTTAAGGCTATGGATCCAAAATGGGGAGAGGTGAGGCCTGGTGAGCAGAAGGCACTGCCTCCTCCCACTGCCAGCAGCAGATCTTGCTGCCTTCCCCCTCTGTGGCCCTCACTTCACTGGAAATGTTTAATTATATATATTTTTGATTTTAATGTATTCCTGTGTGAGGGGTGGACTGATGAAAGTATGGATTTTTATGATAAAAATAATACTGCTATCTTGGGAAATATAGACTGTGAAGAAGAAGAAGAAAAAAAAAGAAAACTAGCCATTTACCTGGTTTTCTTAAGACAGGCAAGTGATTTCCAGGCTTCTCTTGTCTGCATGGTATAGCAGCTTTATCTGTGTTGGCTGTGCGCAGCTCAATATTTGTTGACTCTTCCAGATTATGTGAATTTTGCATAATGTTGTACCATTTTCTATCAGGAAAGATGACACAGTTAGCCAGTGACTTATTACCGGGTGTATGGAGCCATTTAGCCTGCTTGATGAGCTTACATGTAAAGCTCATTTTTCTATTTACCATACGTATTTCCTGATGAGAGAGTCTTTGAAGCTTGCTTAGCTGAGGGCTGGTGGCCTCTGATCCAGACATTGAAACTGTTTAGTAAACTCACAAGAGCTCAGCCCTCAACCCCGCCAGCACCCGCCCACCTCCGCCACAGCACCTCCCAGGATTCTGATTGTGGCTTCCACCACTGGTATTTTTATCCACTGCACCTTTTACCTAAAAAATATTTGCTTTTCAATCCTTCCTTATGCTTCATTGATTAAGCTCTTCCATGACAAAACACTTTTCATGAATCTTGTACCTGCCGCAACTCCAAAACAGGGTTTCAAACATAGGCTAAGTTCCACCCTTTCTTTACCCATTTCACAGATGTAGAACCTGAGGCTGTGTAAGGGAAAAGTCATGGCAGGAATAATACAAAGCAAAGGAAGGGTTGGCTCCAAGCCTACATGGCTCTAGCACCTTCTCTGTAATCATTAAACCACTGAGGCTGAGTCCTGGCCTAAAACTGGAAAGTGTCTACCTTGTTTAGGCAGGAGAGGCATTTTTGTTTGTCTGAGCAGATATCTGTTTCGGTTAATGCTGTGTCCTTAATCAAATGTCCATTGTTTAAAGCCACCATTGTCACCATCAGAGCAGTGTAGGTGGGTGTAGCATTTGCAGGGAAGAAATACACCAGTGACCCTCTTGTCACCCACTCTAAGGTGAGAATGTGGAACCGCACCAGGGAAAACGCAGAGAAGTTTGCAAGCTCAGTGCAAGGAGATGTTCGGGTCTGTTCATCAGTGCAGGAGGCTGTGACAGGTGCTGATGTCATCATCACAGTCACCATGGCAACGGAGCCCATTTTATTTGGTGAATGGGTAAAGCCGGGGGCTCACATCAATGGTAAGTCGTGCTTTCAGACTGGATCCAGGCCCATTTGTAAAGGTGCTTTAAAGTTGCTATCCTCCTGCCTCAGCCTCCTGAGTGCTTACCTTATAGGTGTCTATCCCCACTCCTATCTACACCTTCTTTTTAAGGGTATCTGTATGAGCCTATGCTTAAGAAGTGTAGGCAGGAAGATGGAGAGTTGAAGGCTAGCCTGGGCTACTTACAGACACAGAACCTGTCTCAACAAAATCCAAAGGCTATGGAATGATGGGTGTTCTGAAAAACTGTGTCTCCAATGTAAAAAGGAAATGAAACGTAAAACTGGTGGTTATTTCACTGCTGGATGTCCTGTGGGATGGAAGATGGCCACAAATGGTCAGCCACAACTTCATTCTTTAATGTGACAAAATTCAAATCCTAATGGACAAACAAATAATGCTTCATTTTGGTTTTGTTTGACTTTTTGAGACAAATGTCTCTCTGTGTAGCCCTTAAACTTTTAATTTTCCCTCCTGTGCCCACCAAGATTTGCATGACAGACCCATCACCCCAGCCTGAATAATTTGTTCTTAACCTATAAAACTATAAACAATTTCCAAAAGTAATTATAGTACAAAAAAGGATTTAATGTGGCATATGAATGCTTTTAATATGTGTAATAAGAGATTAGTTGTTCGAGGCCAACCTGGTCTACCGAGTGAGTTCCAGGACAGCCAGGGCTACACAGAGAAACCCTGTCTCGAAAAAAAAAAAAAAAAAAGAGATGAGTTGGAAGGGTATTCTAAACATAAGGACACTTGGGGCCTCTGAAGACCTTCAAATAACCTTAGAGATTATAGCAAAAGATGGATGTATAAAATACTTAACTATAGTAGGAGCTGTCCTGAATTCTTTATGTGCATTTGTATGTGCACATGCATATGTACCCATAAGTGTTTGTATGTATGTATGTGTTGATGCTGGATGTCTTCCACAGTAACTCCCCACCTTATTTTTGAGACAGTTCTCTCACTGAATCCAGAACTCATTAATTAGCTAGACTGGATGTCCAGAGAACTCTGGGATCATCTATTTCTGTCTGCTGCCCACCTACTCCACAGTGTGAGAAATATGCATAATCATGACCACATTTTTTACATGGGTGCTGGATGTGCTTCTACAGCAAGTACTTGACTGTTTAATCTATCTCCCCAACCCTCTTGGTTATGATATATGTATTATATGTATAATATATATGTTAGATATAGTAACTAAACCCTTACAGCAACCTGATGAGATAGGGAATAATGATTATCATGACCCCCTAATTTATAGGGGGTAAACCAAGGCAAGGAGAGATTAAGTAACTTTCAGGAGTCAGACTGTTGGGGGCAGAGTTGGGTTTGAACTGAGGTAGTCTGCCCTCAGAACTTGGGTTCTTGAACAGTACTTAACATTATCCTCCAAAAAGAGGTCTGGCTTCTGACTGCCAGGCAGATAAACAGCAAAGGATTGAATTTAGTCACAGTGCTCTTCCGTGTAATAACAAGAACACGAAGCTGAGATCCATGCACACTCAGGCAGATGAGAAGTGAGAGTCAAGAGATTATGTGTTCATTCATAAATGTTCACTGAATCTACACCTCGTGCCAGCCATTGTTGTAGCTGCTGAGGGATGCCACAGGAAATGGAGCATCCAAGGGCATGGCGTTCCTGTTGGCTTTGTTCTTGTGATGGAAGATAAACCAAACAAGGAAAGACTTAGGTAGTTTCTGCCTGTGGGGGAGCCTGTGCAACAAACAGGACACTGCTAGCCTGGTGGTAGAAGCAGAAGGGAGAAGCTGAGATAGATCCTTTAGACCCACTTACCTGAAAAGCTGCCCTAGGGGTGAGTTAGAATTGTGACCCAAATGATAAGGAAGAATAAGTCACGTCAAGAGCTGAAGGGAAGATGTTCCAGGCTGACAAGATTTCAAGAAAGGGCCCCTGGGGGTGAATGTGACCATTTGAGGACTAGGCTAAATGAGGCCAAGGCCTCAGTCTGCAGGGAACTGATGTCATGACACAGGTCCAGGAAGAAGCTAAGAGGCGGCTGAGGTGGCAGGTAAAAGGTGGATCCAGGTGTGCTTCTTAGAATCAGAACTGTCTGGAAGAACTTGAGAAATCCAGAGGGAGAGTTCTTGGCGAAATGTGTTCCCTGGGGCAGAGTTGAAGCTGTAGCTGACTGACTGGGTTTGGTTTTGTTTTTCAAACTTAATACAGGGGATCTGCTCAAGACTAGGCTGGTTCTCTGCTTAAAGTCTCCCAAGGATGAAAGCCATGTTTACTGGGCTATACCCTCATCTAGTCTCAAGGGTCCTCTAACAGGTTCATGTGGTCACAGGATTCAATCTGTCGCACTATAGGACAAAGGAACTGGAGGGTGCTTTCAGTTCCTAAGGACCTCCCACAATCCTTGCTATAGGGACTCAACATACCCAAAGACAGCTACAATGAGTTTTTTATATTCATTCTCTATCCATAGTATCTTATCTATCTATCTATCTATCTATCTATCTATCTATCTATCTATCTATCTATCTATCTATCTGTCTGTCTGTCTATCTACCTATCATATATATACATATGATTGCCTGATATGACATCAAGATACTTTTTATGTTCCCTTGACCTAGGATAAAATTGTGCTTTATTAATGTGTGTCCGAGTGATAACAGTGAAACACCAAGGACAGGTTTTACTTGCTCACAGCGCTGCTAAAGGGCAGGCCTGACTCTTCCCCACCCCCACCCCCCACCCATACACGTACACATGCACACATCACACTTCCTTACTCCTGTCCTGACATCCTAGTCATCCCAACAGTGAGTCTTTCACACCCTTCACTGTTTCTAGCTCCATTAAAGCAAGGCCCAAGTTCTGATCTGGGTCAGCCTGCTGACTTGCTGTTTGGTGCACTTGCATCTGTCTGCGTAGTCTCTCAGAGCCCCTGAGAACTCTTCCTGTGCTAGGCAGCGGCTGTCTATAGGAAAGCCGGGTAAGGGGTAGCCCTGGAAACAGGAGGCATTTTCCTATCAGCTTATGATTTATTTACAAACTCCATTAGTGAGGACGTTTGTTCTATAGAATCCTCCCCCAACCCCCAACAGCCTTCAAGGTGAGCACTGTTACACTGCTCTCTGGAAACCTGAGCTCAGAACAGGAAGGAGAACATAAGAAGGCATATAACTGCTGCCTTGTATTTGGACAAAACTTTAAAATATTTTCAAAGACTAGCTAGCTCCCCTGGGGCTGGCTCCAGCCAGCAGACTGCTTTGTTTGGACCACAGAGATATCAAGGAATAACCTATGCAAATAGATTTCCTGCTCCTCTTCATAAACAGTAGGGATGGAGGGCAGTCTGGAAAGAGCCATTAGCTGGAGCTGGGTAATGCGTGTTCCCTGGAAAAGTACACACTCTCTTCTGTGTGCCTAGGACTGCAGCATTCCCAGTCCGGCTGTTGGCTTTGTTCCTGTTCATTTCTTCCTGTTTCTGCAGGCATTTGGTTACAGCCTGTGCATTATCCTATGTCCTTGGAGCAGAAGGCATAATAGATTGGATTCATTGCTCCAGTCTCTGCAAAGGGGCAAGGTCAAGGCCTAATAATCAGTTTGCGTTTTGTGAGATGTTTGGTGGTTTTGTTTCCTCCTCTCAATCCTCCCCTTCATCCTCCTTATCCGACTCTTCCTGATCTTATAAAAATAAAAAAAATAAAAAAAAATGGGTGTGTGCACTCACATGGGTGCCACCACACACATGGAAGTCAGAGGACAAACTCAGCTGCCAGTTCTGGCTCCCACTTTGTTTGGGACAGCTTTCTTATTGCTCACCTGTGTGTTCTCAAGGCTCACTGGCCCTTGAGGTTCCAGGGATTCTCCTGGTCCTGATGTGCATTATGGCATTCTGCTTTCTGCAGATTCTGGAGATTCAGGTGGTCATGTGTGTGCATGACATGTGCTTCACCCACTAGGTCATCTCCCCATCATCAGTTTCAAGATGTCAAGGCAATCATAATCAAGGCCAGGTTTCCTTTTTCTCCACCTGACCCCCAGAAGTATTGGGATTGAGTTTAGGGGCTCATATATGCAGGGTAGATGCTGTGCTGCTGAGCTAGTTACAGCCCTCCCTGTCTTAACACTAGGCTCTTTGTCATGATAAGAGAAAACAGTTTTGGGTGAAGAAGGCAATGACTGAGGGGCAAGTCAAGATAAGCAGGATAAGTAGCAGGGGGTCTCTTTGTGTGGTTTCTGCAATTAGCTGTCACTGCCAGCAAGGGTGAGAGCCTGGGGCTCTCAGACCCAGATTCACTGATAAGTTGGGTAGGCCCTGATCTTGTCACAGCTTCAATGTATGCATCTGTGAGTGGAAATTAGACACTGAAGAGTATTGAGGTCCATAAATAGCGTGGATAGAAAATATAACGCAGAGAGTATTTACCTTATAAGTGAATGCTGGGCTGGAGATATGGCTCAGCTGTTAAGACTGTACTGGTCTTGCAGAAGACCCAAGCTCCACTCCTTCCATCTGTGTTGAGTAGCCCATGGCTGCCTGTAATGCCAGTTAAGGAGCATCTGCCATGTCCTCAAGCACCTACCTTTACATCCACATACCCATACCTGACGCATACACACACACACACACACACACACACACACACACACACACACACACATTTAAAATAATAAAAATAAATGGTTTTTAAAAATGAGTGCAGCTAAGTGACCATAAGAACTTACAGGAATGAAGGGGGGGTGTGAGGTAGAAAAGGAGTGCTTAGGTGATGGCTTAGTCCATCAGATGCTCACCATGTGAGCACTGGGCCTGAGTTAATCCCCAGACATGGAGGTGTGCATCTGTAATCTCAATGCTGGGAAGTTGGAAACCGAACAGTTCCCGGGGCTCACTTGCCAATCAGCTGAGCCTGAGCAGAAAGCTGTGTGTCCCAGTGAGGGGCTCTGTCTCACAAAACAGGGTAGACAGCCATCTTGCGGAACAACGCCCTGAACATCTGACCTTCAGATGCACCTGCACATACACATACTCGTATCTGCATACACACATGCACCTGAACATACACATACAAATAATCTTTAAAAGAAGAGAGGAAATGGTAGGTGTTATTTTTTTTAAAAAGTATTCTATATTACTTACTGGGAAGAGTGTGGTCTAGGAAATAAGAGACATTTGGGTCTAAATATTGCTACTGGCCCCTGCTCAGCTCTTTCTACTAATGTGCCCTGGGAATTTCCCGGCCTCAGAGTCTGTTTTGTTATCTCGTAGCTGTTGGAGCCAGCAGACCTGACTGGCGAGAACTGGATGACGAGCTCATGAAGCAAGCAGTGCTGTATGTGGACTCCCGGGAGGCTGCCCTGAAGGAGTCAGGAGATGTTCTGTTGTCAGGGGTGAGCCTCTCTCAACAGCGGAACCACTGGCTGGCCCTGGCTTGGTTCCCAGGGTTTCACTGCCTTCCCCTCTGGACTTTGGTCACCTCACCGCCCTGTAAGGAAGACATTCCCAAACATCTTGCAGCATTTTAAATTCCTTTCCAGAAAAACATAGCCATATGGCTATGACATGTGTCTTCCTGTCCTTCTGCCTGGAGGGAGAATTGATATTTTTTTCTGGTTTGCTGTGCTATAAGGCAGTAGGATGGGAAGTCTGTTGCAGCCTGGAAACCTTACTAAGACTTTGTATCCTCTGGCTGCCTATCCCCACTTATAATCAGGTTATGGAAGCAAGCAGAGGCTGCCAAAGTGCATGGTCAGTTTCTTCACAGACAGGAACCTGGCAGGAAGCCACCCATACACAACGATCTCTGTGTTTATGGCATCAAAAACACAGGTGCTGTCCACAAAGGGTGGCAGAGGACATCTTTTTAACCTCTTCTAGTTCTCACACGGTCTTTTAAAAATCAATTTTATTCTCTCCTGTTCAGGGGCGTCCTACACTGGCTTCAGAAGCTAGCCCTGTATAGGATGATGGTTTCTGTCCTAGTTAGCATGCATTTGTTTCACAGGCTGACATCTTTGCTGAGCTTGGAGAAGTGGTTTCAGGAGCAAAGCCTGCGCACTGTGAGAAGACCACGGTGTTCAAGTCTTTGGGTAAGACTCATGAATTGTTCCCTGGGCACAAATCCAACCAAAGCATAAGGTGGGGAAGGGAAAGATGAATGGGTTACCAGGCTCTGTGGGTGAATCGTTACAGAGTCTACCATTTGGATCAATCATTTACATGTTTGGGTGGATTAGGTAAGCCTATAAACTCTGGAGTTGGGCGAGCGTGGATTACATTCCTTCTGTATCATGCACTGGATATGTAACCTTAGGCAAGTGACCTGATGGCTCAGAGCCACAGTTTCTTCGCCACCTGTCACCCTGAGTTCTTGTGACAGTCCAGTGATATATACAAGGGGGCAGAAATTGTGCACAGCCAATGTTGTACTAAATCACTTGGTTAGACATAAATGAATTCAGAAGTCAGTATCCATTAGAGGAAGAGAGCAGGGACAAAACTGTTAACAGCTAAAGGGAAATGACAGGGACACCTGCCTCAAAGGAGACTGAGACAGGAAGTTACGGTCTGAGACCCTTTCATTTCCCCTTCCCTACGTCCCACTTAATGCTTAGTAACAGGCAACCATGAGAAGTCCAAACTACATCGACTGAAATGGGTAGAAACTTGATGGAGGGTGGGGGTCCCAGTGGACAGTCTGCCCCTGGATAACTCCCCCATTCTGCCACGGTTAAAGAAGCAGATGTATATGGGAACCAAAGTGATAATCAGCTATTACCTTTACTTTTTTAAAGTATTAACCATTACTAAGTGGACATTTCCAAGACTTTCCATACTTCTTCATACTGAGCAGCAGAAACATTTAATATTTGCCACAGTTATAAAAGTACTCTAGATGGCTGGCTGTGATGGCACACACTTTTAATCCCAACACTAAAAAGGCAGAGGCAGATCCCTGTGAGTTTAAGGCTAGTCTGATCTTCATAGCAAGTTCCAGTGCAGCCAGGATTATATATAAACACTCTGTCTCAAACCAAACCAAACCAAAAGACAAATGAAAAAACCATACAAGGACTGTTCCAGCCAGCAGTGTGGCCACTACAGTGAAATTGCATTTGCTGACTGTGAGAGGATTGCTGCATGCATGAATTCCCACTGCTGGGACCCCAGGCATAAGACCTGCACAAGTGCAACCCAGCCGAAAGACCAGCCTGCCCCGTCCCCTAGCTTAGACGCTGTTGGCAACTGATGGCAGATTGGGGGTTGAAAGTCAGTGCTCTTCTAGGATGTGGCCCTTGAGAGGATGCCATGTACATACAAGTATCACCAAGGAGACTTATTTTTTAAAATGAAATGCAGAAAGTTGGGAGAGAAAGAGGATGTAGAGATGGGAAGGGGTTGGAAGCAAGGAAAGGGGGTATGGATTTGATCATATTGTAGGCATATATGATATTAACATGTATGCATGTATGATCTTAACATGTGATTGAAAGTGTGCTCTGGCCACCCAGCACTATACCATCAGTTAGATCCAGGCCTTGACAGGTAGTTAAGTTCTTTCTTATTTTATTTTTTTGTGCACCAAAAGACCAACGAAGTTAGTAAATTTCATCTAGTACCTGGTCCAACGACATCCCACTGATCCAGTTGAGTCTGGAAGGTTAGCTGGCCTCATTAAAGAGACAAATACTGTAGGAATCCACTTATTTGACAAATTTTGTATTCCCATCTCAAGTTTATTGACACACTCTCTCTTCTAGCTGATATATGCCGAGCTTCTCATAGAATATTGGGTACAAAAACTAAGGCTCATGTCTTAAAATTACAGACTGAACACATCTTATCTGAAATACTTGTACCCGTACATGTTTCATATTGGATCCTTTTTGTATTATGGAGAATGTTTATAGATTATTGACTGACTAAGACCCTGCCCTTTGCCCAATATGAAAAACTCATCCCAAACCATAAAAAAAATTTGAATTTCAACATTATCTTAAAGAGTTTCAGACTATGTAATATTTCAGAATACAAATTTTTGGATTAGGGATATTCAACATTTTGAAGACAAACAGGAGATGCTAAAGAGACAGGATTTGTAATGGTCCCGGGTCAGCAAAGTGTAGGCCTGTAGATCCAACCCTGCCAACTACCTGTAGTTATATGAGCCATGAGCCACAATTAGTGTCTATATTTTTAAATGATTGGGGTGGACAAATAAAGACTAGCTCTTGGGACACATGAGAATGATGGGAAAGACTGGGCGGGGAGGTAGATTCGTTGGGAAAACTATACTTGCCACATAAGCAGGAAGAGCTGAATTTGGATCTCCCAGGACCTGTATAAAGTGCCAGGTATGGCAGCACATGGATGGGTCTGTAATTCTGGTGTCGTAGAGGCAGAAATGTGAGGATCCCTAGGGTTCACTGAACAACTAATCTAGCCAAATCAGCAAGCTCAGCACAAGACCCTGACTCATAACAACAACAAAAACAAACAAACAAACAAACAAAAATCCCCAATAAGATGAACAACTGAGCTGTGGAAGAGGAAGATTACTAACACCAACATAGGCCTCCCCATACTTCAGGGGAGGGGATGGAGAGAGTGGTGAATTCAAGTTGTAGTGTCCATGAATACGATCTTACCAAAAGACAGTCTCATTTGCTTTCCTTGTAACCGTGGCTACTTTGCTACTATAAAAGCAGAACTGGGCCGTATGATTCAGACTATATGACATACAGAGCTTAAACTATTTACTGAGCCTTGAGTGAAAGGTTGTTGGCCTCTCAATTCGGCCTTAGAGGTTAGAAAATGTGGACACTTCTTGCTTAGTGTCAGCCTCCTTTCCTTGATCAGCCCTTTCTCTGCCAAGTCTGGGCGAACCTCTGGGCAGCAGTTGTGGTTATCACTATGGAGTTAGCAGGCACAAAGGGCATCAGAAGATAGCCAGGGTTGTTTGAGGGCAAAGTCGTCCTGACAAAAAAAGTGAAGCAAATTTCTGTCCATTCCAGGGATGGCAGTGGAAGACCTGGTCGCAGCCAAATTAGTGTATGATTCTTGGTCATCTGGCAAGTGAGCTGAAGACGCTGTGCCTGAGCTGGACGTCACAGCGTTCCTGGACGTGACAGCTCGAACGCTGTCTCACGATGTCTAAATCAAAGGAGGCCCCGTCCCCAGGGAATGGTAGTGATTGTCATTAAGTACTGATATCCCTATTCATGTCTGTAGTTGAACAGCTAAACCAGGTTACCATTTCTTCTGTTAAAGGGTGATGGCCACATTATCTACCCTTGATCTTACTAGCCTTGTATGTTTCTGAAATAAATCATTTCCAGTTCTTCGTGATTCCTTTGACAACTTCCTGTGGAAGGAATAAAGATGTCAAATGCTCACTCAGTCCTTAAAATTTTCTCCATTTTAATTGAGCAGAACTCACCATAAAACCATTCTCATCATTCCATCATCTCTCTCTCTCTCCCTCTCCCTCTCCCTCCCCCCCCCCCCCCCTCCCCCCCCCCCCCTCTCTCTCTCTGTGTGTGTGTGTGTGTGTGTGTGTGATTCTGGGGATCAAACCCAGAGGTTCACACATGCTAGGAAAACACACTTCCTCCAAGTCACATCCCTGGCACAGCTCACAACTTTAAGGCATAAAATTCAGTGGGTTTCGGCGAGGTTTGTACAACGAATTCCAGAATGATTCCCCTGAAGAAACCCAATTCTCAACAGTGTCACCACCTTCTTCCTAGGAGTTTCCTACACACAGTCATGTGTTATGTAACTTTGTGTGTGTATTTTAAATATTTGAAGAAGCACAGATAAGGGGAATCCTTTGGTCATGGGTAGTAGAAACTACAATGTGTGGATCCCTTGAGTCTAAGCAAATTGATGGAAGGAATTCATTGTTTCCTCATAACTCAACCAAAAGGCTCCACCAGGAGAACATGTCTCATGACCAACAGTTCTTACAAAAGCGTCAGTAGTCCCATGTTTAGGGTCATGCTGCCCTATCTGGCCTCCTCTTACTATGTAAGTTCTGGTAGGATGTGGGGACGGTATCTCAGGAAGTTTCTAGAGAACTAGAGAGGATCCTTCACAGAGAGGATGTGTGACAGAGGCAGGCTCCGATCACAGAACCTGTGAATGCCTTCCTATGACAACTGCTTCTGTGCACATTATTGAGAATAAGTACAACTTCAGTTTATTCCACAACCAAACACGTAATCGTAAACAAGTCTCTTCCACTGTAACATATCCAAGAACCCATATGCTCTTGAATCCATTCCTGGGGAGGAATGAGTAAGTTTGAGCATTGGAGCATCTGTATCCTGCATGAGCATCTTGAAGTAACTTAAAATGTAAATGAGAAATCAGCTGGGCTAAAATAATGGTTCTACTATTATACACAGTTGATGGTAAATTCTACCTGGTAGGTAGATGGTAATTGTACCTGGTAGGTAATGGTAAATTCTACCTGGTAGTAGTCTGGCTACAAAATTCAAAACAAACAAACAAACCTTAGCTATTGGTTGAAGGTAGTTTTAATGGAGATTACCTTTTAAAAACTGTCAGCATTTAAAACATGCTGGCAAGATTTTGGAAAGAGGAACTTTATACATTGCTGGTGGGAAAATAAACTATGGAATCCAGCTTGGCAGTCCTCCAAAAACTGAAAGCAGAACTGTCATGGGACCCAGATATCCCAATCAACATACCACACAGACCTGTACATTCATATTTATTGCTGCACTGTTCTTAATAACCAGAAAACAGGACAGCCTGGATATCCATCAACCAATGAATGGGAAAAGAAAATGTAGTGCATCACAGAACTGAATTTTATTGAACTGTAAAGAATGAAATTAAGACATTTTCAGGATTCAAAGATTTTAAGCAAAATATACATACTTCACTCAAAAAGACTAGTACCCCATATTTTCTTCTCATATGCAACATCTACGTGTGTGTGTGTGTGTGTGTGTGTGCGTGCGCGTGTAACTATTATGTCACTATTTCCTCTGAATTGAAACATTGCCTATCAGTGAGAGGAGGGAGACTCAGAAGACTCCAGAAGTTAAGAAAATTTGCCAGGCTCAGGCTCAGGAAACATATATAAGTTAAAAGATTCACAAGACGCCCTCCTGGCATTGTGAAAGCAGCAAACAGCAGCTTATGCAGTGAGCTCCCAGGATGCACCATTTGTGAATCATCACTCCTGCTTAGGGCGGGCCTTTTGCTAATACAGTTACCTTTGAATCGCCCATACTCCTGTTAAGTAACTCATAACCTCCATGATTTTGAGCTCAACTTGGGTAGAATTGTTCCTTTGTTCTGTCATTGGTACCTATCTTGGGGGGAATAAACATTTGTTCATAATTAAGAAAAATAGGTTGGTTTTAATTTATCACTTCAGAGGTGTTGTTCTATGACCATGGTCTTGGTGCTTTGGGAACTGTGGTAAGGTCATTAGAAGCATGTGGCAGAGAAAACCTGTTCAAGTTGCCTGGAAAGCAAAGAAAGGGGCATTTGGAATCCCAATCCCCCCTTCAATGGCATGCTTCAATGACGTAACTTCCTTCTAATAAGCCCTGTCTGGGGATAGTTGTCTACCTCCACCCAATAGCTCCACAGGCAGATGACCAAGCCATTAGCATGGGTCTTTGGGCCACATCTAAGATCTAGCCTATAACAAGCACTTGCTCAGACAGCAGCCCTGTGGATACACACTAATGAAGTGAGGCCATGCATAGCAAACGTGGATGCTCAAAATAAACTCCCACCATCAACCTTCCGAAAACCTGTACCTTTCCCTCATTTTTGCACCTCAGAAGATACTTAACCCTTAGAGAAATTGTGAAAATGGAACAGGCCTCGTTTTTCTGAATCCTCCTTGCTCTCCACCATCTTCTTGTTTACACACCACGCTTGCCAGCCTAGGCCCCCATAACAGAACACTGTAGACAGACTGGCTCAAACAACAGACATTTATTTTTCAGGTCTCAGGTGGCCGAAAAGCCCAAACTATTATCAGGTTTGATTTCTCAGTGCTTCTCTCTTTGGCTGGTTGGCAACTGGCTTCCTGCTGTTCTCCTTTCTCTGAGTGTGAACAAACCCTTCACACTTTCTTGGATTACGAGCCAGCCCTTATAACTTCATTCAACCTTAATCACATCTTTAACATACTATCTCCAAAAACACTCACTTAGGGGTTAGGGCTTCCATACATGAACTTTAGAAACTCAGTCCACAGCAAGTATCCCACATTTTCTTTCTGCCTTCCCCCTACCTGCTACACATCCTGATTCTCAGACAGGAATACTGTAAACCCAACCCCATAGTTTGTAAACATCTGTTAAATGACTAGATCCGTTTAAACTGGGCTTTGGGCTTCAGACCAGTGAGAGCCTTTGGTCTACATGAAATTCAAAGTCTGGAAGAGAAACACCATTTTCCGGTTCCAAGGTCTCCCAAGATCTTTTCTTATTGATGATTTACTTGGATACAGAGTATCTCTCAGAGTTTGAGCCTCTATTTTGGAAGATCCTCTCTAAAACCCTAACACCCGCTCCCAGTGGTCTGTCATGAGACAGAGACCAGGCACAGGGTTCATCCCGGGGTGGTTCCAGGGGAACTCAGCATGACTCCCAGGCTCATGCTACCCTGTTAATCAGTGCCCTCCATCAGAGACTGGTGTCAACCAGCTGACCAGGCTGTTGTAGCACCTGCTTCCTTTTTTCTATGGCCTTAAGGACTTTCTTTCTGGGGCCCAGCTGCATGTGGATGTTCTGAAGGTCCTCATCAGAGCAAAGCAGCAGAGCCTCTAGATCAATCTGCTCTCTCATAAAAATGGGAAGCAATTCCTCCAGGTGCTGAGACTGCAAGAACACTTCCAATGGAGTGGCATCAACTGCATCTTCCTCCCACTCTACTTCTTCTTCATCCCAAGGAAGATCACCTGCAGAGCCATTTGCCTCTCTCTCCTCCTCCTCCTCCTCTTCGTCATCTGCTCCTGCTGCTCCTTGTCTTTGGAACAGCTCACTGGGCATTTTAAACTCCAACTCCCTCTTGCTGTCTGAGATGTCTTCAAGGTCCAGTACTCTGTTCCTTCTAAAAACAATACTTCCTAGACCTGGACGGTTGAGAATAGATTCGTGTTGTATGTCACCGTCTTCTTCTGCTGAGAAATGGAGTTTCTCTTTGAAGTCCTTTGGGAACGAGTCTTCTTCCTCTTCTCTGAACACTTCCATCACTGGCCTTTGCCCATTTTGGCCATCCTTCCCCATCTGCTCTGCTGTATCTTTATTCTTCTTAGATTTAATCTTGAAGGTATCTTTAATGCCTTTAGACAGTGATCCAAATCCACCAGAAATATTTGAAAGGGATGACCTAGAGAAAGTACTATGGGAAGAGGAAAGCGTCCCAGAGTCCTCCTTGCTATAGGTACGCGCCATCTTGTTCTGGTGCCTCTCCTGAAGCCGTTCGCATTCTTTCATCTGCCTCCTGGCATTCTTCAGAGCCTGTTCCTTTAGTCTGGCGACCCTTTTGGGGTTCACAGTGTTCTGCATGGTGGCAGCCTTATCCAGGAGAGCAACACATTCTTTCTGCTCCCTGCCAGCAGCAGCATCCAGCGGAGACTTTAAGTCATTATCCAGGGCAAAGATGTTGGCACCAAAGTTGACTAGAAATGAGATGCAGTGGGTATGGCCATTGGAGGCTGCATAATGTAGAGGAGTGTTCCCCCAGATGTCACACTTATCAGGGTCTCCACTAGAGAAGGAAATATGAAAGATGCATGTTGAATTATTATTTTTTACTGAAGATAAAGTCTAGAAAGAAAAACAAAAGCAATCAACAAATGTATGTTTATCCTGCCTTGACATTGACATATGATGGCTGCCTAGTTTAGCTGTGTCACAGCCAGATACCAGATGGCCAGAAAGAAAAAGACCCTATGCCTCCCTTTTAGAAGAAAAGCTTCCCAAAACCTTTCTAGCTGTCATTTGTATATCACACTGGCCAGAGTTGGCTCACGACTAAGAGAAAGGAAATATAGTACCATGCCTAATTCTAATTGAGCTTAATTAGAACTTTCTTCAAAGCCAAGAATATCATTCAATGGCATACTGGTAAATGTTTAACAATGGGCTCATTCATGGGAAAAATAAAATCAAAGGCCTGATTTATAGTATCATGATGGTATAAATATACTCATCATGAAAATGTTCGTGTTGCCACATCACCTCACTGTGTGTAGAGACTGGAACACACATGCACTAGTATGCTATTTTATTTCTACCATAGCAACATCATGGACATGTATAACTTTAGAGCACACATACAAAAAAAAATAGTGAACTAGCTATAAAGTGATAAATTGAGTGCTACATTTTAATGAAATCTGTTCAGTTGTAAGTTTATATGATTTTAATAATTTCTGTGTTTAATTGACTTTCAATTGTTCTGACAACTTAGCAGTATTCTCTGAGGACTTAGAGAGAGCTAACTCTAGCCAACACTTCGGCCCTGTCTTTAGTCAAATGTGGAAAACAGAAGAAAAAGCAACCAGAAAAAAAGAGCTTCTATTTCCTGTGAGGCTTTAAGATGCAAGTACAGACCCTACTGAAGCACAGGAGGGAGGTGAATTGAAAAAAACTCTCACCACTGCTGATGGGAAGGCTGGAACAGAAACAGAAATAAATCCAAATCCTTGCAAAGGTCGATAATGTACCATTCTGTTTCTACTTTGGGCAGTTTTTTGACCCAAACATACAGTCAGCAGCAGCAGTAGTAGTAGCTGCAGCAACAACAGATTACCTATAGTTTTATTGAAATGCAGAATTTGAAGCCCAACCCAGATTTACTGAATCAGAATCTACAGCTTGACAAGATCTTCAGGTGATTCATAGGCTCCCTGTGCTAATAGCAGCAAAACCAGAATTGGACAATTTGATGACTCAGACTTGGGTCTCCTCCCTGTAAACCTCCCTCTGACACAGTTGTGAACCAATCATCCAGAGAGTAAAGCGAGACCCTAGAGGGTGGAATGGTTTTGAACAGTAACAGGCAGAACACTGTCAGTTTTATATTTGCAGTGTTAAGGGTAGAACACGGGGCCTCATATGTGTCTACCAAGTCTTCTACCACGGAGCTATTCCCCCAGCCCAACAGGAAGCATCCCTCAGATCAGGCCTCTCCATGTTTACTTCTCTGTGTCTCTCTCATTTTCTCTTTCTACCACCACAACATTCTTATGTATTTTCTGTGTGTATATGTTTGGTTATGAGAACCACAGTGTGCATATGGATGTCTGAGGACAATTTGCATAATTCTCCCAGTTCACCATGTGGAACTCAGAGATCAATCTTAAGACTTCAGCCTGAGGAAGTAAATGCCATTACCCACTGAGCCATCTTACCATCTATCTATGTATCTATGTATTTATATATCTATGTATCTATGTACCTATCTATGTATGTATCTATGTATCTATGTATCTATATATCTATGTATGTATGTATGTATGTATGTATCTATCTATCTATCTATCTATCTATCTATCTATCTATCTATCTATTTTTGAGAAAGCATCTTATTCTGTATCTCAGACAGGCTTGATCCCACTACATAGTCTGAGCTGGCCTTAAACTTGTGGTGAACTTCTTGCAGCACCTTCCCTAGAACCAGGATTACAAGTATAAGCACTCACACCAGCCTCATTCTTATAGTTAAGCATTTGCTTAACTTATTTTATCAAGTAGTAATGCTCTATTGAACCAATTAATTAATTTTCCCAAAGAGAAAAAAGCCTGCAGTTTTCTCCTTTCATCATCTGTAGTTTCTACCCAGAACCTCAAAATCTGCCCCAAGATACACAACAGACAGAAACCAAGTTTGTTTCCTCAACAAAGACCAAGAAAAGATCAAGCTCCTGGAAGCTGCAGTAGTGGGGCAGCTCTAGCTAAGCTCTAACAAGGCAGAAACCATGTTACCACATCCATTTTTCAAATGAAGACTGAACTCCAGAACTTCATAGATTTTCTTTTTTTAATGTTGGCTCAATTTTGAAACAAAACCACAGTGAAATCCAAGCAAAGCCCATTGTGGCCTAGGTCCAGCTGTAGGTTGGCCTGCCTGTTTCACACAGAGAGCAGCGTGGGCACAGACAAGGATGACTGATAGTGCATGGAATATTTGGGGAACCCAGAGTGTACATTGATGTGACCAGATAGCATGGAGTTATGTGTAAGAAATGGGGAAAAGGAAGGAAAGAAAATGAAATTGAACCTAAGGAAAGCAAATGGTAAATAATGCCGTTTTGTTAGCCCAATTTAATTATTTTGGATCAAAAGAGACCCCTCCTTCCAGCCTTGGCAGGGTGGAATCTTTGGGGAGTGCAGTTCTTCATCCCCAAACACATGGTTTCACTTTTTATTTACTTAACTGAACACCATTTTCAAAGGCCCCCTTAAGTAACCTAGACATCAAAGGGGACTGGAAAACAGCCAAGATGTGACTGCGACATAAACAAAACCACTGCTTAAATTTGTCTGAATTATCCTTGGTTTGCATAAGCCAGAAAAGAAAGTGCTAGGCAGGGCGAGCTGTAACGGGAAGTTACAGGCTGTGGCCTCTGAGTGAGATCCATATGCTCAGGCAGAATGAAGTGCGCTTTCTCATCTCTGTGGGTCTTCCTTGATGCTTTCAAGATGCAAGGAAGAAAGTCTGAGATGGGCAGAGGTACATCTTCTTTAGAGAAAATTTAAATGAAACTGTCAAGAAGATGATCCATGGGTTTCCCTGGTGCATCTAAACCCTAAGGACAACTTTTTAATTAATATAAAAAAATTTATTATTGTCAAGTTTCATGAAGTCTGTTTAAGCCTAATCCTACTCTCTCCTCTGCTTCTGTTTGTAGAAAGTCCTTCTATCTAACACAGGTTAGTTTTCAACTCAGAATACTCCTGCCTCAGTCTCCTGATTAATGGGATTACAGGCATGCACCACCATACCTGACTCACATATCTCTTGTCCCGTGTGTGTGTGTGTGTGTGTGTGTGTGTGTGTGTGTGTGCATGCTTCAAAACATACACACAGAGGGCAGAGGTTAACATGACTTTATTCCTCAATTGCTTCTCCATTTTTTTTTCTTCTTTTTGAAAAAGGGTTTCTCACTAAAACTTGATACACTGACTGCTAAAAAGTCCCAGAGATCCTCCTGTCCCTGCCTCTCCAGTGCAGGAGTCCATTGCATGTTGCTAAACCCAGCTTTCTGGCTCATGTTTCTCAGTAAAATCACTGTATATACTTGTTCCACCATTTACAACCCACTCCCCTTAGATTAGGCAGGATCTAGTGTCAATATCTTATGGATTCTTTGGGATAGATTCAATGTTGTGTTGGTATTTCTTCCCAAAAGAGAAACTCTCTGAAGCAATTTTAAAATCAGCCATATTTTACCCTTGATTTTTAGTAAGCAATAGTTTTAAGCAATAATTTTTAAGTAGGCTTGTTATTGTTGTTAAGTGGGTAATTTGCTTAAATTACAACACTGTAGGCATCTGTTCCACTCCAATTTCGTCTTTTGAAGTTGATTTTGAATGTGTGTAAAGCTGTTCTCAGAAAATGATAATTCTGTCAAAAATGGTTTTTTTGTGTGAAAAACAATTATTTGTACTTATAATAATGAAGGAAATGACAATTAAAACCATGCACCGCCAGTGTTTGCACCACCAACAGGAAATGATTGAAAAATATCAGTTGTCTGTTTTCAGTGGGATCATGAGGAAAGGACCATGCTGGGAAAAGTATACTCTGGCTCAGATTGCTTAGCAGGATATCAGGGAACACCCAGAATCCACTGCTCTACTGTGTGAGGCTGTGAACAATGCTGAATTAACAAGGTTATTCCTGATGACTCTGCTTATAATAGCCAAAAAGACATAAGTTAAACAGTCTGGCAAAACCAGAAATAAGAAGGAACTAAGTGTCATGAATAGGTAACTAACTGAATTACATACACACATATATTCATGTACACATACATACGTACATACACACACACATATACACACACGTACACACAATGCAATAAATACTACTTTGCCGTAAAGGATAAGACAGTCCTGTCTTTGGAAACACAGATGCGCCTGGAAGACATTATGTTCAGTGATATAAACTAGGCAGAAAGACAAATAGCTCACAGTTTCACTAAAATGTGGATCTAAACAATATGAGAGCTATAAAAGTCTCTTGAGTTGGAGGCAGGGAGGGAAGTGTGGTGATAAAGATTTAGGGATTCAGAATGCCCGTTAAGTGGGAAAGTTCAAGCAATGCCACTACAATATGATGACTTCATGAGAAGCAGTTTACATACTTGCGAAATTGTTAAGAGGCTATATTTTAAATATCTTCATCACAAAAATGATAAGTATACAAAGTATCATATAATTAGCTTGATTCAATCACTCCACAACATAGATGTATTTAAAATACCATACTGCATATCACAAGTATTTGAAAGGCTTTGGAGACAGGGCCTTACTCTGAAGTAAGGCTGTACGAGTTTTATTTGTTGATTTGAAATAAATAAATAATGATAAAGCCATACAATAGAATATAACATAGTCATAAAAAGCAATTGCATACATATCAACTTTTAACTGCAAATTGATAATGATGTGCTATTAACTTATGACTACACTTTGTATGAGTGCCTTTTTAAGAAAATAAATGCATTTGTGCACATGGGCAAAAGAAAAAATTTAGAAGATATTTATCAGCCAATATTTTGGAATAAATGACCTTGAAATTAGAATTAGATATCAGAGATTAACAGACTTATATCCACTTAAAATATATATTATATATACATGTATTCAATAAGTATATACTATGTATATATGTGTATATTTGTATTTATACTTAAAGTATCAAATGTTAAAATGCCAATTGTCATTTTTTTTAATATATATGACAAAGAATTGATGTTGTCAACTTTGAAAGCATTTTGAAGGCTGTAGAGATGGGTCAGTGGGTAAACTGCTCTAAGTTCAAATCCCCAGGATTCACACAAAGCCACATCAGAGGCTTCTTCAGCACTCTTCTGGCAAGATGAGAGGCAGAGACAGGAGAGTCCTTGGAGGGTCATAGGCCAGCTAGCCTGTGAGCAACAAGAAACTCACTCTCAAACACTGTGGAAAGTGGAGGCCTGACAACCAAGGCTGCCCTCTGACCTCCATGTGTGCACCCTGGAGTGCTGACACTACCATTAGCTACACACACACACACACACACACACACTTCTTTGAACGCTAATTTTATAAATCAATATTTAAGAACCCATTATAAAGGTAGGGCAGTGTTACAGACACACAGCTCACAAAGACAGGGATTCAGTGGTTGCTCAGCACTAGCGTTTTTAGCCTCACCAGGACCCTGCCTTTCACCTTGTAAAAAGGATTCCTTATCAAAGAAAGGAACTTGCTTTTTCATAATTTTGTTTGCTTGTACTTTCTCTCTCTCTTACTGTGTGAGGCTTCTACCTTTGTCTCCCACCCCGCCCCCGGCCCACAGTTGGCATCAATAAGGAGTCATCATGAAAACAGACTGGATCTCTCTAGGCACTGAACTTCTTGCCAACTTGATCTTGAACTTCCTAGCTGCTCTTAAAATTATGAGAATAAGTTTTATCCTCTATAAATTATCTTGCCTGGGGTATTTTGTTATCATAGCACAAGTGCAGACCAACTGACCAAAAAAAAAAAAAAAAAAACAAACATTCTTTTTTCGAAGATCTTACAATTTAAAAAATATGGACAAGGACTTATATGGAAAAATAATCATTACAACATTGTAAACTGAAAAAAATTGTGTATCAAACCTAAGAAATAAATTTGCTGATTATAATACTAAGGTGTCCCTGTAAATTAAATTGAGTGTGTTACATACTTCATTGCTGTAACAAAATTGAGACATTAACTCAAGAAAGGAAAGACCTATCTTGAATAAAGTTTCAGAAAATTAGGTACAGAGAATGGGTATGCTCTTTCTGACATGTTCCCCATTTCAATGAGGTATCCATGTCTACAATCTGTTTAATCCAAACATAGATGTTGACCCTCCTCTTCCTTTGCCACATCCAATCACTATCCAACATCCAAACTGTCACTCAAATCTCCATGTCTACACACACCCAGTGTCACCATGTTACTTCACTATACCTTGAATGTCGCTAGACATTCTCCGTGACCACTGTCAATCACCAGAACAATATCCATGCACATAAATCTAGGTGACTGCTTCCTTTGTGATAGAGGGTGTGGTTTCTAGGCTCTCAGGAGAAGATTCAAGTCCTTAACAGAATTCTCCAGGCTCCCGATAATCTGGTCTCATGGCTTAGGTCTGTCCCTGTGCAGGTCATGTCCAGCCAAACTCAACGTCTTCCATCCTCAGAGTGTACAGTGCTCTCTGCCTTAGGGGGAAAACACTTCCCTCTGGCCTTGATCAGCTCCTTATCTTTCTAATACCAGCTTAATTTCCCTTCCCTGGCACAGGCTTTGTCACATCTTCCATAAGCCGCTTGCTTGGCTTCCCCTCTCAGATCTGATTGCCACAAGAGCACCAGGATGTTTTGTTGATAGGCACCATCTGGGCAGCACCAAAAATATATGAGAAGAAGAATCAGAGGAGGAGGGAGTGGAAGAAAGAGAAAGAGGAAGAAGGGGAGAGAAGGGGGAGAGGTGGACTGTTACCTACCAGATGCTAAATATGCACTGTACTGAAGTCACTTGGCTGTCTTACTCTTTACCTCCCCTCCTCTCCCCCCACTCGTCTCACTTCCTCAGACTCCTCTTTTGCTCCATATCTCTCAGTTTTAAGTCTTAGCTGCGTACCCTGGCTAACCCTCAGATGATGCGCAGGACAAGCAGGATAAAAGAGTTAGCAAAAAATTGAATTTAAATGTAAGGGATAGTGTGTGTGTGTGTCTGTGTGTGTGTGTGTGTGTTTGTGTGTGTGTGTAGAGGAACTGAAGACTCATTTTATAGCTTGTAAAGCCAGAAATTCCACTCAAGAACCAGGAGCTAACACCAAGCCTGAGTGCTCATAAAAGATAGACTTTAGTGACACATTTGAAAATGTAAAATAAAGCCATATCCTAACCAAGGAGAGCAACTGAATAAAAAAGGCATGGTGACCTCTTTTTAAAGAGTTAACCGTTTAAATTCCATGGAGATGATCTTCAGGGCATATAGTTACAATACCCACCCCAACCCCTCTGCCTAGGTGACTTCTAAATGGCTGTCCTCACAGGGAAAGAAACCATATCTAGCTTAGTCATGTCTCTTTCTCTAAAAGCCAACTACTTAGAGAGATTCTAAGTAGAATTCTAGATTGAAGCAAGTTGTCTGTGTGGATGGCTGTCTCTCGCTGCCGGTGTGGTGTTCCCCACCCAGGATGCCCTAACAGGAGTCACTCACCCTCTACTGCAGATTATCTCCAGGGCCTCGAGGTTGCCATGGTAGGCTGCCAGGAGAGTGGGTGTCATGCCATCCTCATCTGAGAGATTCAGATCACGCTTGGTGGCCTCCTTCAGAAGTTCCAGGTAGCTGTCACTTGCTGCTTGGTGATACCGGGTAGACATGTTTTCTGCCTGCCAGAGCTTGGCCGGGTGTCTTTGTCTAGGCAGTGCTGGTAACAGTCTTCCAACAGAGCTGGTTAATCAGTGACAGGGAGTATCACCCAGGCCAAAGCTCACTTCAGCCTCGCTCTTTGGAAGGCAGCCAGGAAGGCCTGCAGTCCTGGACTTGGACCTTTCCTTTTGAGACCAACCATGGCAATGAACATTGAGGCCTGTTATGTTTGTCATGAGTGTGGTGAAGCACATTTGATCTTTACTATGTCCATTAACAAGTGTCAGATGGGATACTGACCACCCAGGCACAGAATATGGGAAATAATCTCAAAAAACTCAGAACTGTTTTAAGTTCACTGGTGTGGGAGAGGGGGGAGGGCTAGTAGAATATTGGCGGTATAATTTGTTCAACTTGAATTTAGCCATTTGAAGTATAAAATGAAAGATCTTAGTAAATTTATAGCTGTGAAATCTTTACTGTAACATGGAGGAGAGAAGGCTGATTGACAGGCCAGAAGACAAACAGGTCCCTCCCAGGAACTCCCACAAAAAACAAACAGACAAACAAACAAACAAACAACTTGCTCTAGAAAGCATCACAAAAAAGGAAACAATACTTTCCTTTTTTCAATTTTAAAAATATCTTTATTGCTCTTGTTCTCTTGCTCTCTTGCCTCTAGCTTCTCTCTGTCCCCTCGCCTCTCCCCGCTTTCCTTCCCCCTCTCTCCACGTGGTCATGGCCAGCCTCCACTTCTCTCCTCTACCTCCACTTCTCTCCTCTACTTCTCTTCTTTCTCCGTCATCTTCTTCTGTTTCTCTCCCCCAACCTTTGCCCTCTGCCCTGAATAACACCCCCCCCCTTTGGAACTGTTTGGTCTGGTGTTGTCTGTTCTAAGCTGCGTGCCAAAGTCCAACATTGGTGCCTTGGCTGGGAATGAAGATTTTGGGACCCCCGAGACCCCTGCAGCCACAGCTGGCTGCTGTGACTGTGCAGGACGGGCGCCACATGGCCTGCCAAAACCCCACTGCCACCACCACAACTGCATGTGGACTCCATCTGTTGCTACCTGCGGTCACCAACCACATGAATTTCCACCGCTGCTGCAGACCATCTCCATCCACCGCTGCGAGGCTCACAAAACTTCCACCATGTGAGCTGTGCCACTGCGGCCCCCACGTGGTGCTCTGCCACATGGGCTGGGCAACCAGACAGGTCTACACAGACCTTACGCTTCCACCTTTCCTGATATCAGACTGCATAAGCCCGCAAACACACACCGGCATATTAATTGGTAAGGAGCTTCCAATTGGCAGGAGGGACCCTGGACACCCAGTTAGGGCCTGGCCAGCCTTCCCTGGGCTAAGGGGTTGACTTTTCATTGCCCCAGTCCATATGACTGGCCTCTAGCTGACCTACGACTTAGGATATTGGCCGTTGGGTGATTTCCCTCCTCAAAAGCAGTTCACAGCCCCTCCACCCCAAAGCTCTTGCAGCAGCTGGAAATCCTGGCACCAGGTTGACCTGCTTTCTGGCGAGCTCCAGGAGTTCACCACAGCCGAGGACCCTAGATATTCTCGTGATGACCTGATATCTAGGCTGCTTGCCTGATTTCGTTGCCGACTTTTCTTTCGGGACATCAATACGAATAGCTCGGTAACAGCCCCCATCACCCAATGGGCACCACATTGTCTTTGACTGCACCCACAGACACCCCACTGGGTTGTCTCCTCAAAAACCTCAAATCTCTAAAATTAACACCTGATTTGAGGCCTTTCACTTTGATACACCTCTGCAATAAGGTCTGGATTCAGTACCCTCTAGATAATGGACTAAAGTGGCCACCTAATGGAACGCTAGACCCAATCATTTTAAAGTGTCTTCACACATACTGCCAGCAGTCTGGTAAATGGAAAGAGGTTCCCTATATCCAACCATTCATCTCTAGTACTTCTGTGTGTTCTGCCTGTCCCCCATTCCCCACTGCTCAGAGTAACTGTCCACATGGTACCAAGAAAGATTTCTTGAGCTCCGAGCTAACCCTGTGCTTTCCTGACCCTTATTCTAGGACTTCCCCTCCTACTCCGTCATTTGCTGGTTACACCCACTAGTTTAGCTGGTTTGCCTGAAAAGCAGCAGGGGCTGGCACCCTGCTTGCTCCCTTCTCCCTTCACTGCCTCCATCATTTGTGGCTGACTGGACCCACTTAGCTCAGCCGGTTTGCCTGAAGCAACGGGTCTGGGACCTGGCTTGCTCCCTTACCCTCTGTGGTTCTTAGCTCTGCTCTGGGTCTACTCCTTGCATCCTACCAGGGACCCTCTCTGAGACTTGCTTCCTCACGTGTGCAACCACTGGTGCAAAGGGCTTGGATGCCCGCACATGCAAGGGAGGCTCTCTCTCCCTCTCTGCCTGGGACCTATAAAACTAGCTGCCAGAAACACTGGGCAGTGACCTCCAGCTGCTAATAGGAAATCCCACCCTGTTGCTGCCACAGCAGACCTGACCCACAGCACCTGTGGCTCACAGCCCCAACCCACCAGCCATATGATCCAGATTTCTTATTCTGGTCCTAGCCAAATGTTTCTTTGCTAATACAAAAATGTGCTTTTCTCTGCCTACACAACCCGGCAAAGTTACTTAAGACTCCTATCCTGTCTTAATAGATTTTTACCACTGCTATTAAATTCTATTTAGTTACAACCAATCCTTATGGCTCTCAATCTTGTCAGAAGTCTGTCAATAGTATATTTAAGTTTATGGCCAACAGAATTCCCAAAGCCTCTAACAATTGACTTAAGATGGTTTCAGAAGACTTAGACACTGGACACCTAGAAGATACAGCCTGGATTGTATGTGATGATATAGTCACTAACAAATGTAGTGGGCTAAACTGGATTCTCTGAGTCAAATGACTTTGCTAAACCAAGCTACAAGAAACTCACTCAGATCTACCTCTCATGGACCAAATAGATGCCATCCAGATCTTGTCAAGTCAAGGCACATCCAAAACAGCTCCAGAGAAGCAACCTCCAGATGCTCCATCTCCTGTCACACACACAGCTGCTTCTACTGGACCTGTTCCTTCTGACCTATCCTCAGATGGGTCGCTCCATAGACCCTGGACAGCAGGAAACAGCCAACTCTCCTAAGACTGGACAAACATCCTCCATACCCATTCTTATAGGTTCCCCCTAGAGACACATCACCCCCAATGCCAGCAGGAAGTAGCCAGATATCATGATGACTCTATTCCTGCTTCGCCGTCACCTCTTTCTAATTTTTCTCTTTTAATTAAACCAAAATGGGTGAATGTTAGTATTTTGTCTAAACTCCACCTCCACAGTTATCTGGCAAAACCCAGGTATGCTCCTCCCCAGTTACCTGGCAACAGTAGGCCTGCCCACTATAAAAGGGGCTGCTTGCCTCCTCCTCTCTCTCTTGTTCTCTTGCTCTCTTGCCTCTAGCTTCTCTCTGTCCCCTCGCCTCTCCCCGCTTCCCTTCCCCCTCTCTCCATGTGGTCATGGCCGACCTCCACTTGTCTCCTCTACTCCTCTTTCTCCGCCATCTTCTTCTGTTTCTCTCTCCTCACCTTTGCCCTCTGCCCTGAATAACCCCCTCTCCCTTTGGAACCGTTTGGTCTGATGTTGTCTGTTCTAAGCTGTGTGCAGAAGTCTAATATCTGTCACTGGCTTAGAACTCACCAGTAAGGTTAGACTAGCTGGCCAGTAGGTCTCGGGGAATCCTGTCTTCCTCCCAAGCACCGGGGTCACATGCACATACTATTACATCCACAGTTTGAAATGGTTCTGGAGGTTCTACCCAGGTCCTCGTGCTCTCTGGGAAAGCGCTTTACCAAGTAAACTCTCTAGCCTCTACGTTCTTTGAGATGTAGGCTCAGTATTTAGTTCTGGCTAGCCTGGAACACATACTGTAAACCAGGCTGTCCTGGAACTCATGGAGATCTGCCTGCCTCTGCCTCCCAGGTGCTGGGATTAAAGGTGTGCGCCATCATGTCTGGGCACCTTGTGAATGCACACCAAGCAGTCTCCTATGAGCTACCTCTCCAGTCAGGTGGATTTTTTTTTAATTGTGTGTCTGTGTATGGAGGTTAGCAGACAATGCTGGACAGTGTTTTGTTAACTTTTCATGAGGAAACATAAACAAATGTCGAATAACCCCAGATGGGCACCAAAAATAAACTTAAGTATGATTTCCCGAAAGTCAAACTTGGAGAGACCACTGAGTTTGTTGGTCTTACAGAGCAGGAGTAAGGGCTTCCTTACAGGAGTATGGATGACTCCTAACCAAATGGATCGCAGCAAAGTCCCATCTCATGTATAGTGACCTCCTGGAGTTCTGTTTTGTTGTTTGCTTGTTGTTGTTTTTGAAACAGGGTCTCCCTATGTAGTCCTAGAACTCACTCTGTAGAGCAGGCTGGCATCAAACTCACAGAGATCTACCTGCCTCTGCCTCCTGAGAGCTGGGATTCAAGGCACATGCCACCATACCTTTTATATTTTTTTTTATAAAAATAAAGGTTTGATTTTATTTAAAAAATATTTTTATTATACATAAGTATACATAAGTTATTATATGTACATAGATATATGATTCATATTTATAGATATTTAAAAGAGATTCAAGGAGCAGTACCCAAGCCATAGAGAAGAACTGATGTTAAGGTTTTTAAAAATTGGTTATTTTATTTATTTACCTTTTAAATGTTATCCCCCTTCGTGGTTTCCCCTCCTCAAATCCCTATCCCATGCCCCCTCCTCCCTGCTTGTATAAGAGTGCTCTTCCACCCACCCACTCCCGCCTCACCACCCTAGCATTTCCCTACACTGGGGCATTGAACCTCCACAGGACCAAGGGGCTCCCCTCCCAGTGATGCCAGATAAGGCAATCACCTGCTACCTATGTGGCTGGAGCTATGGGTCCCTCCATGTGTGCTCTTTGGTTGGTGGTTTAGTCCCTGGGAGTTCTGGGGGGTCTGGTTGGCTGATATCATTGTTGTTTCTATGGGGTTGCAAACCTCTTCACCTCCTTCAGTCTTTCTCA